AATCTGCACTATAATAATGTTTGATAGGGCCTGAAATTATATTAATGATATCGTTGTTGAGGATAAGCGCAATTTTATTTTTGGTGGTTAATATTATTTTAGTAGAAAGACTATCTATATCAGCAATTTCTATTGAATTACCATACACACATTTTATTAATGAATCATTTTCAAGCAAATAAGGTGGGATTTCAACACTATTTGTAGGAAGATCAGAATTGCTGCGTGATAGCCCATCTCCAATTTTAAGTAACCAAGCATTGTAATCAACTTGATCTGATGAAATACGCATATTATCAATCAAATGTATTATTTTAAAATGACTCCATAAATATGAACTTTTTATACAGGACTCTATAATATCGACTTTGGAGCCTTTAGGCACTACTGGTAAAGTCTGTCTAAAATCACCACCTAATAAAATTACTTTTCCGCTAAATGGGTGGGAATTTTTCATAATGTCTTTAAGTAATCGGCCAATGCATCGCAAAGAGTGTTTAGTCATCATTGTGGCCTCATCAATAATAATCAATTTGCTATTTTTAATATCTAGAGTTAGCGAACTATGTAAATTCATATGGGATATAGAAGTTTCAGAGATAGGCACAGGTAATTTAAATCCGCTATGGATGGTTCTTCCTCCCTTTAAAAGAATAGAGGATATGCCGGTGGTTGCAAAAGGCAATACAATTTGATTTTTTGCTCTTATATAACACATTAAGGTATTGTAAAGATACGTTTTACCTGAACCTCCAGGGCCATCCACGAAGAAATATCTTTCTGGAATATTTTCTAATTCAATCGCTTGTATAATTAAATCAAAAGCATATTTTTGTAATCGGTTTAATTTAGATATACGCTCGATTGAATCGGCAGCTTCAACATGGGCATCATAATGTTGTTTTGGGGGGATTTTTGTAGGTGAAGGAAGATCAAAACTTTGACAGCATAAACCATGATCAAGAAAAACGTTTTCAATGTCCATTAAAGCCATGTTTATTGCAATTACTTCTGAATATTGACGCAAATAATCTTCAATCATCATAAATCTGAACCTATTCCATAGATATGCAGGATTTTCAGGCTGACAAAAAATGCAGATAAAGACAAAAGTACTCCGAAGTTGTGACGGCATTTGATATATTGATCCCTCTTCTAAGCATGATTCCCACTCTTTATCATCTGATAACAAATTTCTTTTAATAGCTGCCTCTTTAAAAGTACTCATTAAAATTCCATTAATAGTTTTTAAATAATCAAAACCTGTAGCCCCGCAAACATGAAGTAATAATAATCAAAGGAAAAATCGTTCACCAGAATTAGGATGAACGGAATACAATCTCGAAATTACATTTAATCGTTTTTTTCTTAGTTTCCAATGGTAATTTGTAAACACATAATGATAAGGTATTTCCACATAAAGATATTGTCTAGCATTTAGATCTGTCTTATTTAACTCAAACCATGCCGTTAAAGTAGTATGTTTATTTTCTGATCTCAATAGAGCATCTCTTTCATGTCCAGCAGTGAAATATACTGGCTGTTGTAAAGGTAAATGAATTCCTAAGCGAATAACAGCGTGCGAGCGGTCATGCATATTATTTTCTAATAATCTCCACATTGATTCACATGCACTCACATGCGCATTTAAATGTGATTTAATTTCGTCATGAATATTTATATTTGAAGCAACATTAATGTCAACATTAGTACAGTCATAGCCCTTATAAATATACTTAAAGATATATTTTACCGATTTAATAGATGTACAAATTTCCACGTTAATATGAGGATTGAATTTTAACATTAGATATCGATTATATGAAATAACATAACGATTATCCGTAGGTTTACCGGAAAGAATTGTAATACCATTATCTCGCCTTATAATATGGATACCCATCAATATTTGGTCTTGTTTCCATTTGAAAATCCTTCGGAAATTTTTTGGTACATATGCCATTTTCCATGCAAGGCGATTTGGGGTTAAATATCCCGCAAGGACCATGTATCATAAAATGGGTAACAATCTGAAAAAGTTTAGGATCGAGAATTTTATCTGGCATTTCGGCACAAACAAATTTATCTATAGCTTGAGATGTTTCAATTTTGCTATCATCGTTTAAAATAATAAGTATATGGGCATGAGGCAAACCTCTTTTTTGGAACTCGATTGTATATATAAAAGCCATAGATTTACCAAATAAATTTTTTTTATTTATATCGAACAATAATTCATTTAATTTCAATTTAAAAACACGGGCTATTAAATCTGGTATATCTGTAGGACTTTGCCCGGGAAATAGATTTTCCTTAATTTCACGCCAATTAGGATTGCATGTAAAAGTAATAAACAAATCAGGTTTGCCAAATTTGAGCACAATGGCCATTGCATCGTGATAGCATTCTCGCATATTTCTTTGAGAACCTTGAAAAGATGATGGTAATATTACTGCTTTGCCGGGAATTATATTGTTTGACTTTGTTTCCAAGTAGTCCATTAATCCAGAATATTCATCTACTCGTAATTTTGGCTGATTTTGTCTAATAAAATTTAAATTATTCGCCTCGACCTGTAAATAGGAATCAACAATATATTGTTGTGATATTTTCCCAGCAAAAAGGATTGGGTTGAATTCATTTTCACGAATTGCTAATCTAAATATTTTAAACTGTAGTAGTGAGATATTTGCCCTTGTACGCCCTGTATCTTCACCCTTTAAATCTGGTTTCCAACCAGGGTCACCAAAAGGAAATAATAGAGGATATACCATTGGATCAAGATTAGGGCTTAATATATTTATATTTATCAGATCACTACCATCAACTCGAGGATAGACCTTGATATCCCGTTTAAATGGGGGTTCACCATCATCATTTGTAAAAATAGCTACTTCATCTATATTAGGAATGTTATATCTTCGCTTGTCACTTGAGCGATCTGCACGAAAAATCATATTGATTTTTTGAACTGGACGATTTTCTTGAATAGCCCTATTTTTTTCTTCTTTCTTAATTTCTCCCAAGGTTTTAAAACTAATAGAAAATGGGTTATTCTGTCTTATTAAAATATCTAATCTTTTTAAGAGATCCTCATTGCAACCAGAATTTTCTTTCATGTGTAACCTGCCATTAACAGCCTGGGTGGTCTCAAGGACATATAGTTGTGCAAATTTAGGAGGCATCCCAGTGGAAGGATATAAATGAGATGTTCGGTGATAAATTTGCCCATGAACTCTAAAACAATATGGGCCTGTGTTTAAACTATTAGAAATCTGTGCTCCTATGGATGCGAACGCAAGTGAACTATTATAAGATCTTATATATTTCATAAAGTTTGAATGAAATTCATTGTTAGGATTAGATAAAAGGTCTTGTAAAAAAGGAATATATCGGATTGATGGTATCTTAACTTTACCCTTATGACAGCAATTCTTAAATTTGCCATCTGTGGGTTTTTCCAATAAAAAATTTAGAAAATCGCAATAATCGCACTTAGTGTTAAGTAATCCACAATAATGTTCTTGTCCTAATGATTGTTGTGCAGAAATATTTATCTAAAATAAATAAAATAAATTTGAGGCCTGCTAAAAATTATACATATAAAGAGTGCAGACCCGGTGTAATTGTAAAATCAATACCATCAAAAATCAATACGTTATTGATTTTTATAAATCTTTGATTCGACATTTATATATGAATCACAAAATTTTATAAACTCAATCAATAAGGTCCATTTAATTTATTTTAATTCATAATATCATTTAAAACTTTGAATCAACAATTATATAGCACTTCACAAATTACAAATAATGAGTAAACAAAATATAAAATATATAGGATATCAAGAATTGTAAAACAAATAAATTTCCTGATAAATTATATAAAAGAATAGAAAATCATATTTATCATTTTAATATATTTAAAACTATTAAATCTATTTTAAATAAAATTTTTACAAATCGAAAATGGCCGCCAATATTTATAAAGCGATGAAAAAATATATAATAAATAAATATTTTATATTTTTAATGGTCGCCAATATATTTGAAGCGATGCAAACATCTTAAAAATCTATACGGTATTGATTCTACAATAGCAATATATCACTACGGTATTGAATCTATAATGATATCAATACGGTATTGAAGTTACAATTATTACAAATTACCTTAAATATAATAATAAAAATGCCCTTTACTCTCAATTATATAACTTAACAACCCCAAAATAATTCTTTCTAATAATATTAAATAAATACCATTGACCATTAACGACGATCCATATTTAACATAATTATCTTTATTTCCAATAAAACCACCACAATCTAACATAATGTAGAAACATATAACATAATATAATTATCCAATTCTTCATTTCTCAAAGGTCCACAGCTGACATCCAAAGGTCCACAGCTGACATCTAATCCAATATCTCTTAATCTCCAACTACGGGTTTTTCCAAACAATGAAACACACCCCGTGATCCTTATCTCCTCTTCTTCCCCCAAGGAAAACTTAATTTTCCCGTCAGAAAATAACTGACATTTGATGTATTATATTAAATTTATTTCTTCTTTTTTTCAACAGCTACAACACGCCCACCCTTCACAAGCCCAGCGTCCCTCTCTTTGTGGTGGTGTTGTATCGAATCGCCCCTTTGAATTGTATCGAATCACCTCTTTGAATTGTATCGACTCGCCCATTATAATTGTATTGGGACGCCTTGAAGATGTTCAGGGAATTTATCGAATCAACTTCCCTTATAATGATTTATAATATAATAACTCCAGTACATTTCAATATAAAATCGCCAAAACAGACATTATCAATAATGACATGTACATTGGGGTGTCTGCATTTATAATCTACGGAACATTAATATGGACAATGTAATATCCGCAAAACATAATAATTTATTCATTTTAAGACATTTGGGAACTACTAGCTATAATATACATTATTAGGGTATGATTCATGGTAATTAGGAAATAATGATTTTACATATAATAATGTAATGTGAAAACATTGTCTATGTGTGAAACGCAATTTCAACACATGTAATTTTCATTCTATCATGTGAAAAAAAACAAAGCTACATCTTTATAAATATTTCCTAAAATGAATATAAAAATCCATCTTTAGGTATTAAAAATAATTGCGAAACTTGGCCGAACAAAGATTATAAATAAAATTACAATACATACGTATATAAATACATTTAATATTATATATGAAGGAACAAATATATAATATGTAGAAAATACAATATTTTCCATCTAGGAATTACTCAGTATCCTAAGAAAAATATACCATTTTTACCTAACTCTGTCATCACAATTAGCACAAATTCACAAAAATGTAGAATGCAAAGTAACGAAAATTGATAATATAATGGGCTATATGGTATATATGTAAAGAATTTTTAATATACCTTCACAATATAAAATAATTTGAGTCTTTTCTTTAAAAATATGTTCATAATTAAATAGTAAAATGTGATGTGTTATAAAATTATTTAAAAAAATGTATTATGCAGCATAAATTTACAAAAAAAACTTTCCCCAGTATGCAAACTAAACAATATTTTCACCTCAAGGCATACCCCTCAACACGGGCTGACCTTATCTGTAAAAATATTTTCCCTTCACATCATTGCATACCACACAAATAATATAATAATTGCAAATAAAACTTCTTATAAAAATTTATAATTTAAAAAAAAAATATATATATTAAATATAAAGATTTCATAATTTGGAAAAAAAAAATATTATACACCATCTAATGTATCATACAAATTCCTATCCAATTTATATATACACTAAATACAGACACTAAATCAAAATAACTATCCACATCTAACATTATAGATATTATTCTGACTTCATCATACTTCAATTCCTTCAAATTCTCATTCATAATTAAATATATCATATGTTACCTATACAATATATTAACATTATAAATAATAATTCATAGTTAAATATATCATATGTTACCTATGCAATATATTAACTTTAATTAATAATAAATTATCCCATACATATTCATCCCTTTACAAACCCAAAATGCATAATTAAATAATACACACTTTATTACAAAAGTCTATATCCATATATATTTTCATAAATTTCACATATTTAAATATTTAACAATCCTTTCTGTCCTGCTGTTCATGAGGTCTTTCAGCTTCCTATGACGGAATACCTATAACACCATTCAATGAGTTTTAAGGCATACCAAATAATGATCAAAATTATATGTACCATATACATCTAGACATAAGATAATATACCAAATATTACTGTCTTAAATTCCTGATCTTATTTCCATATTTCTGCCTAATACTCATTACATACTTTCTATCTTACACCTTTTAAGTTAAATATAAAAGTATAGAAATCCTTAAACTAATGTATCTGTATAGTTTTTAGTACATTGCCTTGTCAAAATTTCTCTTATGTAATATGTATACAACAAAAATTTTGTTTTACTTTAAAACCGAATCAACCCACTCTTTCGATCTTGGTCAGCTGGCAACAATATTACAAATTACCTTAAATATAATAATAAAAATGCCCTTTACTCTCAATTATATAACTTAACAACCCCAAAATAATTCTTTCTAATAATATTAAATAAATACCATTGACCATTAACGACGATCCATATTTAACATAATTATCTTTATTTCCAATAAAACCACCACAATCTAACATAAAATATGTAGAAACATATAACATAATATAATTATCCAATTCTTCATTTCTCAAAGGTCCACAGCTGACATCCAAAGGTCCACAGCTGACATCTAATCCAATATCTCTTAATCTCCAACTACGGGTTTTTCCAAACAATGAAACACACCCCGTGATCCTTATCTCCTCTTCTTCCCCCAAGGAAAACTTAATTTTCCCGTCAGAAAATAACTGACATTTGATGTATTATATTAAATTTATTTCTTCTTTTTTTCAACAGCTACAACAACAATGGGTATTGATTTCACAATCAATACACCGGTTCTGATGTAAACATATGCCAGGCTAATAATAATTTTTTCTAAAATATTCCATGGGTAATTACGATTATGTAGCACATACTTATTTTATCTTATATTTTGCCCGTCAAGATGATAGTGAAATAAGATTTCTTTTTTATTAGTTGATGAAATATATTTTTTATTGTGGACATAAATTAAAATTAATAACCATATACTTCATAAATAAATAATAAATTTTGAATAACCCCTGATGATGGATAAATCAAAAATTTTCTTATCTTATGAGATGTGATTCAGAAATTTATATTTATTAAAATATTTGTTATACATAAATTAAAATTTTTAACTTGGTTTGTTTTTATTGATTTGGATAGATTAAGATTTTGGTGAATAGTAGATTTTGGTAGTGTCTAATATAAAAAAATTTATTTGTTAACATAAATTAAAATTTTTAACTTCGTTTGCTTCTATTGATTTGGGTAGATTAAGATTCTGTTGAATGGTACATTTCGGTAATATGATTCGTAGAATCTAATTTAAATAAATTTATTTGTTAACATAAATTAAAATTTTTAACTTTGTTTGTTTTTATTGATTTGGGTAGATTAAGATTCTGTTGAATGGCACATTTCGGCAATATGATCAGTGGAATCTAATTTAAATAAATTTATTTTTTAACATAAATTAAAATTTTTAACTTCGTTTGTTTTTATTGATTTGGGTAGATTAAGATTCTGTTGAATGAATGGTACATTTTGGTAATATGATTAGTGGAATTTAATTTAAAAAAATTTATTTATTAAGATAAATTAAAATTTTTAACTTGGTTTATTTTGATTGATTTTGGTAGATTAAGATTCTGGTGAATGGTACATTTCGGTAATATATATCGTGGAATCTAATTTTAAAAAAATCTATTTGATAACATAAATTAAATTTTTTACTTCGTTTGTTTTTATTGATTTGGGTAGATTAAGAGTCCGTTGAATGGCACATTTCGGCAATATGATCCATGGAATCTAATTTAAATAAATTTATTTATTGTCATAAATTAAAATTTTTAACTTGATTTGTTTTTATTGATATAGGATCACTGGAAAAATTATACTTAGATATTGCACCAAAGGTATCTTGTGTAGGAATCTAAAAAAAATAATAAAATAGATTTTAATGGTCCACAGTAATGTTCAACTTGTTCTTAATTTTCAGTATCTTCAAGATGATTGGATGTTGAAGCAAATTGTTTATTTCCAGTATCTTCAAGATGGTTGGATGTTGTAGGAATAAGACTTTGCTCGTTCCTTTTCTTGATACGACAAAGTGCCTGTCTCTTTCTAGCTTTCTCCTTATGTTGATTTATTATTAAAATTTAAAAATATAAGAATTACTCAATTTTATAAAAATAAGTTTAGTTTAAAATATTTATTATTGTGGACATAAAATAAAATTACTAAATATATACTTCATCAACATATTTATAAAAAATAATGGAAAATATTAGAATAGCCCCTCACCTAATAAATATATATTTCGGAATCACATCTTATAAGATAGGAAAAATCTGATTCCTCGTCATTCTTGACGGGCTATCAGCTAACATACAATACAAATTAAAAAAAATATAAAATTTACTCTTGTTGAAGCAATAATGCCTTCTTTAGATTTTGGTAGTATGAAACGTTCCATTGTTTGGTTTTGTTGAATGGTATCTTGCGTAGGAATCTAAAAAAAATAATAAAATAGATTTTAATGGCCCACAGTAATGTTCAACTTGTTCTTGATTTTCAGTATATTCAAGATGATTGGATGTTGAAGGAAATTTTTTATTTCCAGTATCTTCAAGATGGTTGGATGTTGTAGGAATAAGACTTTGCTCGTTCCTTTTCTTGATACGACAAAGTGCCTGTCTCTTTCTAGCTTTCTCCTTATGTTGATTTATTATTAAAATTTAAAAATATAAGAATTACCAATTTTATAAAAATAAGTTTAGTTTAAAATATTTATTATTGTGGACATAAAATAAAATTACTAAATATATACTTCATAAACATATTTATAAAAAATAATGGAAAATATTAGAATAGCCCCTCACCTAATAAATAAATATTTCGGAATCACATCTTATAAGATAGGAAAAATCTGATTCCTCGTCATTCTTGACGGGCTATCAGCTAACATACAATACAAATTAAAAAAAATATAAAATTTACTTTTGTTGAAGCAATAATGCCTTCTTTAGATTTTGGTAGTATGAAACGTTCCATTGTTTGGTTTTGTTTAATGGTATCTTGCGTAGGAATCTAAAAAAAATAATAAAATAGATTTTAATGGC